GACCCCTTTAATGCCAGCCGCGCGACCTGCAGCATCAAGTGTGTATCCGCGGCGATTTTTCAAAACTGCTCCACGTCGTCGGACAACTACAACTATATCTGTTCGACCTGTAAATATTCAAAACGCTGTTAGAAGTCCAAAGGGTGCTTTGTATCAAGTGTTTAGTAGGTTAACTCCAGCAGGTCAGACGAAGCTGTACAGAGTCCTAAAGAACCATATGGGTCCATCTCTTAAACTGCCTACCTTTGGGACACCAAGGCCAACTCAGTCAAGCGTAACCGGGAACAAAAAAAGTGCATCAGGACAGCCCTTTACAATGGTGTCCCAAACGAAGGACTTGATTACAAGAGAGGTGCAACAAAACGCTGTGCTTCTTCAGCGCCTGGTTGGACAAAATCAGATTGGTAGTTCTACGGCAAGCCGTCTTGGAAGACAAGTCAGAGATATGAAACAAAAATTGTTAGAATCAGAACCTGTTACTGGGCAACAAAAAGAACAACTTGTTATGCAATTGCGAAATCAGTTCCGAAAACAACTATCCATGTTTAAAGAACCCGGTGTCAGTCCTGCAGAGATCTCTGTGCATGCTCCTTCCAGAACAGAACTTGTGTCTTCGAATGCCATAACTGATGTACCGCATAGTTTGGTAAGCCACCTAGTGAAACCAATTATAGAAAAGACCTAACTCTATCAGATTGGTTTCTGAGGAGGGACCGCCTTTTGCTTGTTTTACATACTTTTAATTGAAAAGGCAATAATGTTTATATGCAGACATTGTCCTTGTTATTACAATTAGATTTATTTTGTATTATATTTCTTTAAACGAAATTTCTAGGTCTCGCTCAGGAACAATTTAATTATTTCTTTTTATCTCAAATGAAATTTGATAAATGTTGTAATGTTAACTTGACAAGGTGTTAATGTGAACATCAATAGTGCAAAAAAAAAAAAAGAATCCGGAAACATGTTTGATAAAATATACACATCCGTTTTTAATGGACAACACGTGTTAAGTTAAATGATTTTGACGAAATGAGTAGCTGCCTGTCATATCTATATTCGATGAAAGGTATAATTGTCACTATGACGTAATAAATTCATGTAATAAGTGGCCCATCAATTATACATATTTAATTATTCTTCAAAAATCATTAAGCCAGTCGATCAATACTATGAACTATTTAACTTATTTCCTGTTCAGTGCTATACTGAACATTTAATGCATTGATGTACGTTCACAACACCTATATACTAGGTGTATGTTACCAGCACGATGATAAACACTGTTTAGAGCAAACTGTTCAATTAACCGTCTATACACAAGATACCAGTAACCAACACCATGTCACGATGTATTACATGTTATAGTATATTTCTACCCTGTTATCTGCCCATCCATGTAATATTATACACGTGTAATTTGACCTAGAGGGGCGGTGGTTGGCTGAGTGTTGTTTGTTGTTTTAAGTGGGACGTCGTTGATTAATGCATTGAAATGTCCCAAACATAAAAGTAATTATGCTGTCATATCACATTTGGTATCAACCTAAATGCTTTTTCATGAATATTTGTATCCGAGATATTGTGATAAAAAGAATCTTCAATTCGTTTCTATGTTCCTGATGAAATCTATTAAACTCGTCATAAAAATCTACTACTCGTGAATGAAAACTCATATACATGTCTCTTTATCTTAAACGAATTTCAATTTTAAAATTGTAAGCTTTGGTATCAGCATCAAATGTATTTTATTGTTATCTACAATATAAAATATATCTGAGCTAGTTTTTCTTTGTTTTTAACAGCCACACGAGTCTATTGATCAGATGTTTGCTGATATCGCAGCCGAATCAGGTAAAAGTGAGTGATCTGCTTTCGCTTTTCTACTTTTCTTTCTTAATATTTGTGTGAAGCAAACGTACTTATTTTGAAGGTTTTTAATTGCTCTCGTGATTAAATATAAATGATTCGTACAGATTGCTTATCATTGTTAACTTTGCTATTTGTCTAATAGTTACAGAAACAAGATAAGTCCATATTGTATTCCGAAACAATCCCTTTTCTTCTTCTTCCCTGACATAATCCATGTCGTTCTCATATGAAGCTTTTCTTCATACTGAGATTAAAAAAACAAAACAAAAAAAAACAAAAACAAAAACAAAAACAAAAAAACGATTCATTGAAAAAATGAAGTAATTTCACTGAATTTTATTGAAAATACGTACGTTTACAGTGTAGACTTTATTTAACATTGTCCCTTATGTAGGTATATCACATTTTCCTCGCCTCTTGCAAACACTTAATCATCACTAGCTTCGCATTGAACCATCCAATACATGCACATTATCCTTTTTGTTATGAGCAAAGGCGCCTGAATATATCCACTATTACCTTTTACTAAAAGTTGAATAATGTTATTTATATAATGTCTATAGAATACTTCCCTACTAAAGGTAAACGTGGATATCTGTTACCTGAATAATAGTTTATCTCTACACTAACCGAGAAAATACCCAGTTCCACTAATTATTTTGGGGGAAAATCTGTTGTTGTAACATATCTAATGATACATTCTAATAGATTGAATTCATTGAATTGAACTAGCTACTTTGTGTTCCTCCCAATCATAAAGATTCTAAAAAGAGACATAATGGGAAACAAATTATTCAAACGATATTCCATTGACTCATTGACGTTATAAGGTAATAATTTAATCGTGGTAAAACAGATTTCACCCTCGTCATAGTGACGTCATAGACAAGTATTATATTGCTTTGTATGATATGAAGCTAGACGTGTTTAATGCTCGTTAGTTTTACTGTTGGTTCCATTGGTTTATACCTTGTTATCATTGGATTAACCAGAGCTTACATGACGGGAGTTGTCGATGAAGCAGAGGATGCTTACTCTTCCGGAACATATGGCCTTGATCTTCCCGTATCTTTTCAGGATCATCCGTGTAAATCTTTCATATGTTATTATATAATCTTTTATAGGTATCAGCTTTAGCTCGGATATCGGACCAGGTACTTACAAGATCGAATACGACATGCTGATTACACAGGAGGATATGGAACAAAAGTACCGGTAGGTTATCATCTGTTTTGTTCCTGATGCAGAAACGACTTCATATATTCCATTTCAATCTACCAATCATGAAAGCAAATAAAATACGTGTTCTAATCAATGTACCTGCTGTAATTCTTTTACTACGGACCAACAAAAATAAATTTGCTATTGTCTTTCCTGGTAAATTTACTCGACGAAATAAAAGATCTCTAATCACTTGCATTGCAGCTATTGACAAATGGACATGATGCTCAATGTTCCGTGATTTATCTTAAATAAATAAAATTGTAGAGATTAACTACTATGCGAGTATTTAGTATTGTTAACGAATAATTTAAACTAAATCACAGTGCACATTAAGAAATTTAGTCGAACATCAATAAATTATACTTGGCTTGTATATAACTAAAAAAATCATATTTACATTGACAAGTTGTTTTTGCTCTCTTGGGTTTTTTTCTGCAAAACATTAACTACTTTGAATTACCGCTTACAGTCCAAAAAACGATGGGACGAGAGTAAAGAGAGCTTTGTTAAAGAATGCCAACGCTCAGTGGACAGGCGGAAGGGTACCCTACACTATGCGGTCGAGAGACTTCAGTATGTATGCAACCTGTGTAAATTTGATTGTAGTCATCAAATGTGATCGAAATTTGACAAAATCTAAATGGGAAAGTTCCATAACTCAATCAATTTCGTAATTTTTATACATATTCTGAATTGTCCTACTATTCGTATGAATTAAGGCGAGGCATGCAGGTTACGGCAAACAACGGGATTAACAATTCTTTATCACACCAAAATGAATTAAATGTATCAGCAATTTGTACCTAACACTGAAACGACAAAACCTGACATTTCTTATTTTTCTATTTTATATTCGATAGGTAGTACAGAAAGACGTGATATACACCTTGCTCTTAGAGAGTGGGAGTCATACACATGCGTGAACTTTGTACCGGCCAAGCACACAGATCCCTTTTCATTACATATCAAGGATTCTGACGGGTAAGTCTCATTCTTTGTTATTATAACCTGATATTGTAGTGTTCTTAGGATTGTTCGGTTTGGATGGTTCTACATACTTAATATGTTTTAATGTATTTAAACGTTTTACGCTTTGAATTTGAGATGTGTCACAATTTTATCGCCATATTGTTTTTAATATTGCAACAATTTTTGACATGAATTTGATAAGGGGGGTTAGGAAACTGTCTTCTATATTGTGGTTTCAATCATGTTCAAGTGCTTGATAAACCCATTGATTGTGTATTTTTACAGAAATGAAACAGTGGACTTTACAAAAGAAAAACACCTTTTTATACAGTTTTAGAGTTAGATACAGTAGTAAATTGATACGCTCGTTAAAAATAAGAAAAGAACATTGTCCAAGAATCCTGATTGGGATTCAACATCGGTAAAACAAGAGCAAAGTATGAGTGATGGAGGAAGAAATACTTACATGAAAATATGTTTAGGGCAAGCACCTTCTGACTGATCCACAATGTACAAGAAAAGACGTAACGCTCACATATGATAACCATTGACGTTTGTATGATATTGATTTAGGGTTGAAAAGTAGAGAGAGAGAGAGAGAGAGAGAGAGAGAGAGAGAGAGAGAGAGAGAGAGAGAGAGAGAGAGAGAGAGAGAGAGAGAGAGAGAGAGAGAGAGAGTAGGAGGGAGGGAGGGAGGGAGAGAGAGAGAGAGAGAGAGAGAGAGAGTAGGTTGTCCTGCTGTTATACTTTGCTTGTTAATATCAGAAGTTCCATTTCCAAGACTGCAATTCTTAAAGTTAAGATGATTATAATATTCATCACACCCCAGTGAAATACATTGTAGCGGAATTACAAAAAATGTAAAAATACTTACTTAGATACTGACATGGAAATTTGCCTTTTAAATTTTCGACAGATGTCATTCTTATGTTGGAATGAAGCGTAGACAGCAAATGGTGGGCCTGGCAAAACCCTGCAGAAAGGTCAGTCTTGTGGATAACTTGCTATTCACCTTGTGATCTATGTACTGTAGGTGTTTACATATAGTGTTTATATATCTGTAATTCTAACCTTTAACTTCCTCATAATGTCTTCAATATAAAAGGGAATTGTGTCCTAAAAACCCAAAATAAGTGAAAATATCTTTAGTTTGCTTGTATGATATCATCGATGAAATGCGTTGCAAAGCAAACAAATTATCAAGGCGATGCCCAGCATATTGCTATAATTTCTCATTTTTAATCAACACACTCATGACACTCTTTCAGTCACCAGCAACAAACATTACAGATCACTTTATTATACTAGAAATTGTGTTGTTCTACTTTCCAGAGAAGCATCATTCTTCACGAGATTGGCCATGCTATCGGAATGTTCCACGAACAGGCTCGGCCTGACCGAAACTCGTACATCGATATTTTGTATGACCACATTCTTCCTCCAGTCAGATTCAACTTTCAGCAAATCGATCCTGACCAGACAACAAACTACAGCATTCCATATGACTACCTAAGCATAATGCATTACGGGGAAACAGTACGTATCACCTATATAGCTCACATGTATGGTTATCATGGAAACAGAATTTGTTGATGATATAGGGATTAAACCTTATTATTGGGAAACAGAAGGTGTCTCCGATGTAGGGAATAAACCTTATTATTGGGAAACAGTAGGTGTCTCCGATATAGTGATTTAACCTTATTATTGGGAAACAGAAGGTGTCTCCGATATAGGGATTAAACCTTGTGTTATTGTGTGGAAATAGGTTTTTCTGATATAGTGTTCATACATATTGTTATTATGTGGAAACAGTAGGTGTCTCCGATATCGATTGTTATATTGTGGAAACAGAGGGTATACAGATTTGAATAACGGCGTATGTCTCCGCTGCAATGTTTATCTTAGTGATGTTATCAAAGAAAAATGTGGAATTTTAACTCCGATTTATTATTAAGAGTAATACTATTATTGGAAAAAGTAGTCATCGCTGAGAAGTGATGCTATTATGGAGAAATGTCAAGTTTTGGTTTTTTATTTCATTTTTTTTTTTATTTCTTTATTATTATTAACTCTTTCTCGTCATCAGTCGATGTTTTTTCTAGGGTTGTAACCATGCATCGACCTCATTTCTTATATATCAGGGTTTTTTTTATTGAAGCTATTGAGATAATCTCCAAACCGAAGGGAAAACTGGAGCAACCGAAGTTTGTAAACAATCCATACCTTTCACAAGCACACATCGTTCCATCAACAACGAAATTTAGAAAAGAAATACATTGTTAATGTCTATTTTTGCGTACATTTTCCTGAGATCTGCAGATTTTTAAAATAAAATTCTCAGCGAGAGTTTGTTCAAAAATTTATTCTTGATATCAAAATTCATATTTCAGGCGTTTTCCTATAACAGATCAGCGGTCACTATGCGAGCCAAGGATCCCAGCTTCCAGAAGAAGATGGGCAAGGCGTCACGTATCAGCTTCCGTGATGTAATGTCAGTCAATGCTATGTACAACTGTTCAGGTATTAATTCTCATCAAGTGACACTAGCGTCAATAGATATTATAGAATTTCGAATTCAAGACATCAGCGATAGCAACTTTCTGTTCAAACTTCAGTATCAAAGGACTAATTTTATGTGGGTAACATGTTTTACAATGTCCAATATATTTTACATATATGTTGGACATTGTAGCACAGTTGACGAAGGGTGACAATATTTGATTCGTGGCCTGTCTTGGCCTTAACCTCACGATCTATGGCGACAAGGCCAAGACATTTCAAACTGTCTAATCATTACACCACCACGATATCCCCTAAAAAGGATGTTTGGAATTCCTATTGATAGACAGCTGGAAATTCTCGACATATTTTTGTTTATACGATACTTGTGTACATAAGATATATATAATTTAATAACATTTTCCATTTTCTTTTAATATTGTTTTGTACAAAAACAAACAAAAATTAGTACTTACTTGAGTAGACGATTTTGCTCTACTGAAAAAAGTTACGATTTTCATGTTTACTCTATATCATACAGTCTTTCATACTTTCAATCCTGACAAAAGTTTTGTCTGTCGTGGCATGAATCATATAAACGGAAAGATTCTCCTCAAGATTAACTGACAATATTCTTTTGCACAGGTCACTGTAGTTTCATACCCAAGTGCCCATTCAAAGAAGCTTTTGTCGGAAAAGACTGCCGCTGCTGGTGTCCAACAGAAGAAAATGATCGTGAGCCTGCGAAATTGTGTCCCGATGTACCTAAAGTTACACCTCCTAGATTAGTTACGACTCCACCCAACAGTCGAGGTGCTAGACCAAATCAGAGACAGAGGGACACGAATGGTGTCCTTCTAGAAATCGCTTTCAATCCAAATGGGCGCCGGACGTCTAATCGTGGTGCAAGTGCTGTTTTAACTCCTGTAGGTAGAGGTCACAACTTCATTCGAAACCCATCAAACCAGGGGGCTAGAATGGTACCTACTTCCGGCAATGAAGGGTCCCAGACTTTAGCTGCAACTTTGTCAAATCTTCCTGAATCTATTAGAATAGGCTCCCTGAGAGGAAATGGACAGCGCTCTACAGCAAGCAGAAATAGAAAGACCCTGTCGAGAAATCGATCTGCGGATAGAAGGCCAACCTTTCGACGTCAAAGTTCAACCCGTTCGCAACGCCCTTCCACAGCTACATCAGCAACCGGTGATCGTCTAGAACAACAGCTTTTGAATGAATTAAATTCACTCAGTGAAGGTAATGAAGGAACTACACGTCCGCCATCACAACCGACTCCATTGCTGTCGGGATTGGTGCCATCAAGATCATCAAGCACTGACTTCAATGCAATGGTTAGCAATGTGATGGGCATGTTGTCGGGAAGCCGAACAGGTAACTCCAACCGAAACACAAACGGCGCCGTGGTTTCTTCTCAGACACCAGGAGGTGGAGTTGCCACGGCTGAACTGAAGCTTCTGTTACAAGAACTTAACCGACTGAACAGTCAGAATCAGATGTCTCCTCATATCCCAATTGTTAGCAATGTCCGACACACTCACGTTAGATCCAGAGGAAGAAACGCCGATATTCTGAGTCAACGACGTGCCCAGAATTTATTGCGGGAATTATCTGACCTCATGTTATCACAAAGTGGGCGCCATCAAAGCTTACCTCTTTCACGAGAACAAATATCATACCTTTTGCAAAAAGTATCATCTTTTAATTCTCCAGTCACACATGTTACTCATACACATCCTGTTGTTATAGAACCATCTGCTGGACACCACCACCACCACCACCATCATCAAGAACACAGTCACCACCATCACCGAGAACAAACACACCATCGCCGAGAACAAAGACACCATCGCCGAGAACAAATACACCATCGAAACGACGTCCTCTCGCCCATTATCGAGAATTCGCATTTTCACAGCAACCCGTGATAGAACACTCCCATATCAACTTCCAATTGCCAATATTGAGTTGAACTCGAAGGAGCATATCATATCATCGCAATAACTCCTCATTGGGATGTTAGCGTGATATCATACTGACTCCTGACTTAGTTGGTAAACACTTGTCTACATTCACTTGAATATAATAGTAGACCAAAGAACAATGAATGTATTAATGGTATGTAGTGTGCTCAAATTATGACTGAGAGCATCGGATGAAACATAAATTTCTTTCGATTCCATGATTATATCATGAAATGCAGTGTAGAGCTGTTATTTTGTCTGCGAACAAAAACTATTCTTGCGTAAAGCAGATATAAATGCTTGGATACATACTGATGGACGAGAAAACGAGAACTACGATGAATGAATGTCCGAAGTGACAATAATGACTATACAATCATGTGCTTACTCGATTGGATCTCCTTTACAACTCGTGAAATTAGTCCATCCGTCTGATTATACATTCATGTCATGAAAAAAGATTTATTTGCCATTAAAATGAACGTAGAATATTTATTGTGCGTATTTTACACGTGTATTTAGTACACCATAGACGTTCCAAGACATCACAATCAGATGAGTGAACGCTTTATCTATCATGCTTTTCTGCATAGTATGCAGATCAAAAAGACAGTTCATTGTGGTACAAACTTATGTTACACTTTTGATTTTGACCACATTGTGTGCGGTAAGTGTTAATGTTTGCTGCTGTAACACAGTGTAATGATCTATATTTATCGTGACGTAAGAAATACGTCACAGTTCTGGTTTATCTGTTATACAATGCAATACTTAATAACGGTGCAAGAATTATGTCACAGTTGTGTCTCAGCTATTACACAGTAAAATATTTCATCGTGATATAATAAATACGTCTCCGCTGATACAGTATAATACTTCATCATGATGTAAGACGTACGTCACGGTTGTGTCTCAGCTGTAACACAGTATAATACTTCATCATGATGTAAGACGTACGTCACGGTTGTGTCTCAGCTGTAACACAGTATAATACTTCATCATGATGTAAGACGTACGTCACGGTTGTGTCTCAGCTGTAACACAGTGTAATACTTCATCATGATGTAAGACGTACGTCACGGTTGTGTCTCAGCTGTAACACAGTATAATACTTCATCATGATGTAAGACGTACGTCACGGTTGTGTCTCGGCTGTAACAGTATAATACTTCATCATGATGTAAGACGTACGCCACGGTTGTGTCTCAGCTGTAACACAGTGTAATACTTCATCATGATGTAAGACGTACGTCACGGTTGTGTCTCGGCTGTAACAGTATAATACTTCATCATGATGTAAGACGTACGTCACGGTTGTGTCTCAGCTGTAACACAGTGAAATACTTCATCATGATGTAAGACGTACGTCACGGTTGTGTCTCGGCTGTAACACAGTATAATACTTCATCATGATGTAAGACGTACGTCACGGTTGTGTCTCGGCTGTAACACAGTGTAATACTTCATCATGATGTAAGACGTACGTCACGGTTGTGTCTCAGCTGTAACACAGTGAAATACTTCATCATGATGTAAGACGTACGTCACGGTTGTGTCTCAGATGTAACACAGTGAAATACTTCATCATGATGTAAGACGTACGTCACGGTTGTGTCTCAGCTGTAACACAGTGAAATACTTCATCATGATGTAAGACGTACGTCACGGTTGTGTCTCAGCTGTAACACAGTGTAATACTTCATCATGATGTAAGACGTACGTTACGGTTGTGTCTCAGCTGTAACACAGTGAAATACTTCATCATGATGTAAGACGTACGTCACGGTTGTGTCTCAGCTGTAACACAGTGAAATACTTCATCATGATGTAAGACGTACGTCACGGTTGTGTCTCAGATGTAACACAGTGAAATACTTCATCATGATGTAAGACGTACGTCACGGTTGTGTCTCAGCTGTAACACAGTGAAATACTTCATCATGATGTAAGACGTACGTCACGGTTGTGTCTCAGTTGTAACACAGTGAAATACTTCATCATGATGTAAGACGTACGTCACGGTTGTGTCTCAGCTGTAACACAGTGTAATACTTCATCATGATGTCAGACGTACGTTACGGTTGTGTCTCAGCTGTAACAGTGTAATACTTCATCATGATGTAAGACGTACGTTGCTATTTGAGTATTTATTTTAGCAATAACTTGTAAGTTTCTTTATAAGCTGTCAATAGTGCAGCAAGTTTCTTTATAAGCTGTCAATCGTGCAGGCGAATCACTTAAATGAGTCATCAAATCGTAAATTGCAAACTTGCAGATAATCTTTGTATTTTAAATAAAATGAATTAATGAGTATCGTGTTGGACTTTATCATCTTTATTCTCAATAAGTGGTTTCGGAGTTTTGGGTATTAATATTATTGCTGTATTTATAAGAAATAGTAGCCTACGAAATTATGATAAACATCAGCATATTTTGCTCTGCTTCGTCGTCAACACTCGCCGTGTTAATCTTAGTTAATCCAAGTAAGTTCTTAAACAAGAACTTAGATAAAATCAACGAAACCACTTTATATTGTACAATGAAATGGAAGAGTTCTCTGTGAGATAGCATGATGGCGGCCATACAATAGTTTAACATATATCTCTAGAATGTCTGTGTTGTAAGTCTATCTGTCAGCTGTCGACACGAACGAATTAAAAGTGCTTGTTGTGATTATCACGAAGAACAAAGAAACTCTCAAACGCTGACTCGGATGATACTGTTTCTTTCATTCTTAAGTAAAGTTTCGGTGTACTTGGCTATAAGCGCGAGAACCATTCTATTATGTCGTTGCTGGTGATACTAGAATTACTCCGATGTTGTTCTAATCACCCGAACACCGTTATAGACATTACTTTAGAATAATTCTTGTTATCGCCATTTTCAAAGATGGATTAAAATGGCAAAAAGTAAATACCACAAAAATGAAACTATAGTAGAAAATCTTAGACTGTTTAATGATTTCTGTGAGCAAATACATCTGTTTTTCTTTAAGGTTTTGATAAACACGAAAATATGAACCGTCCAAAAGGCCCACTTTTACAGTACATATAGTATGACACCAACAGGTTATAACAGTCCAGAAAATAATTTTACGTAGATGGTCTTAAATCAGTGTCATGACTTTTTATTTTGGTCTTGATAGGTGACGAAGTGACTGGTTAATGCCAGTAGTTCATATGATTAAATGACGAGATTTGAAATAATGTTACATAGTTAAATCTACTTTTAGATACTGTATGGTTATATTACCTTTCGGTTTCAGTGTTTTTCTACAGACATAAACATAACTAACCTTTGTTACAAGTCCTGAACTGCGCTGAGTAAAAGTTATCAGTTATTCTACCTTCTAGTTTGTAGACTGACAGGTCATGAATAATAATCAGAGTGATGAATAACGAAATTTAAATTTTGAACGTAACGTTCAATAGCAATGTCATTCACAATCTCTTTGATGGAAGATTTGGTACACGACAACCGCAGCCTAAATCAAGTCAAATACATGTATATCACAATATGAAGAACATACATACAGTATATAATTGAAGCACGTGTATATAATTATACTAAGAGATACGGCGGAAGTCTGTCAAGAGAGTTTTAGAATTACACATACAGTTCAGTTGTTGTGAATATAAATTAGGTTTTATTTTGAGTTGGAATTAAGTGGATTTTGATACTAATTCTTATCTTCTTATATTGAAGTACTTTTTCTAACATTATCATCTCACTTACAGTAATATTTTGAACTTTCTCATGTGACTTCTAATACATTACAAACTAGTCACAATATACATTACAAACTAGTCACTACATACATTACAAACTAGTCAAAATATACATTACAAACTAGTCACTATATACATTACAAACTAAACTAGTCATAATAAACATTACAAACTAGTCACTATATATGTTACAAACTAGTCACTATATACACTACAAACTAGTCACTATATACATTACAAACTAGTCACAACATACATTACAAACTAGTCACTATATACTTTACAAACTAGTCACTATATACATTATAAACTAGTCACTATATACATTACAAACTAGTCACTGTATACATTACAAACTAGTCACAATATACATTACAAACTAGTCACAATATACATTACAAACTAGTCACTGTATACATTACAAAGTAGTCACTGTATACATTATAAACTAGTCACTATATACACTACAAACTAATCACGATACATTACAAACTAGTCACAATATACATTACAAACTAGACACTATATACATTACAAACTAGTCACTGTATACATTACAAACTAGTCACTATATACATTACAAACTAATCACTATACATTACAAACTAGTCACTATATACATTACAAACTAATCACTATACATTACAAACTAGTCACTATATACATTACAAACTAATTACTATACATTACAAACTAATTACTATACATTACAAACTAATTACTATACATTACAAACTAATTACTATACATTACAAACTAATTACTATACATTACAAACTAATTACTATACATTACAAACTAGTCACTGTATACATTACAAACTAGTCACTATATACATTACAAACTAATCACTATACATTACAAACTAGTCACTATATACATTACAAACTAATTACTATACATTACAAACTAATCACTATACATTACAAACTAATCACTATACATTACAAACTAGTCACAATATACATTACAAACTAGTCACTGTATACATTACAAACTAGTCTTTATATACTAATCTAACCAATCCGCACCTTTAAATCAACTGAAGCCCTGCACACTTCATAAACTTATTTTGGTGTTGCACACATCAAAACCACGCCAAGCCACCGCACATTCCAAGACTTTTGATATGAAAATTGCAAGAGACAAAGACGTTTTGACGTAACATGTCATATTAATATATCATTCGTTGTGGTCTTTACTTCGATGGCTTCATAATTTAATATATCATTATTCTTAACTTTAAAATAGTTTTACACTGTCAATAATGTATAGGTATGACACAAAAGGAAGCAAGTGAAACCTTACGGCGGGTGTTGTCTTTAAAACCTACCGCAATCTGACGTTTAATTCTGGACTCTAATCGGAGCTATGTAACTTCTCTCTCCTTGGCTGTAGAGGAGAAAGAGAAATCCCGACCTAGGCGAGTTTCTGTGTTTCCCTCGTGTCAGGGAATGATTCACTTGTCACCTGTACTTGTATGTTAGGCCCAGGTTCCTGTTGAAAGGCGTGTACATCATGGAAACAACACAGATACCAAAACATCAACAAAATCTTATTTCAAACTCTAATGAGGGCAAAATGGGAGAAGGGTACTAGCGTGTCCCCCTTCATCTCAATTCCATTCTAAAATGAGAACAATGTTAACATACAAATGTACTAACACACACACCAAACACGTCAACTTTCTATTGTAGAAGTAAATACGCTATTTCCCACTGAGAACATGGTGAGGACCACAAATTTTCCCATAATTACGGCGATTTCTTTTTATGTGCGCCATCTTGATAATCCAGTGAATGGTTTATTTGTCATGTGTCGACATTTTGTATGAAGTCATCGTTATATTGGACACAAGCCATTTAATATCGAATCGTTTAGGAACCGTGAACTTTGTAATCTAGAAATGGAAAAATGACAGTATAGAAACCAAAATCACCACGAATATACGTGATAAAACGTGGCATTTCTTTTTCGTCATTGATACGAACATCACAGGCTTCAATATCTTACGCAGCAGATAGAGTATATTTATTATACCATATACCTAAATATGCCTGATTGTATTTTTTTCTAGTGAAATGGATGAATTTACTAATATATCAATTCGATGTAAAAAAAAAAAAAAAAATCAAGTTTTCTATTGGTTTTCAAAAACAGCTGAACTTGGAAGCAATTCCTACCAGAAATCAACACAAAATGTTTGAATATAGAATTCTGTTAGTATTTCCAAAAGTGTTTTGAACATTTATTTATTTATTTTTCATTTTAAAATGTTACCATAGACCTAAATATGTCTGATTGTATTTTTTCTAGTGAAATGTATGAATTTACTAATATATTAATTTGATGTGAAAAAATCAAGTTTTCTATTAGTTTTCACAGCTGAACATGGAAGCGATTCCTACCAGAAATTTATTTATCTATTTATCCTTTTAAAATGTAATCAAAATATAATTTCAATGGTTTCCTTTAAATGTCATATACAATGAGCACATGTATTTCACTGGTTTTCATAATACACTTCTACTTCAACTTAGTGAAGATTAAGTCGTTTTAGTTGAGAGACAAAATGTGCACTAGGAATAGAAGGGAACAGAAATCGCATCTTTTAAGGAAGTTTCAGAAGAAAGGACATGCCAACACTTCGGACATGACATCAAACGGTGCCGCTGAAACCAGTTATCAATTTAATAAAAGAGACTTACAGCTAGTAGTGATGATGTAACTTTTATAGTTTTGTGTAACCAATGCTTCCAACGATTTTGCTATTTGAAGATTGATTTATTTTGATATTTGTACTTATTATTTGACAGAAGTTGATTGTAGTCACCCCCCCCCCCCGGATTTTGGAAAGCTAATTGAATAATTAAGTGCATATATTAAGATAAATACTATTTAATATTAACTGAAAAAATATGGGCTTTATCTGATTAAAAAAGACGTTCCGAGATGTAAATTGGAACAGTTTAAGCTAGGCCTCTCCGACGTCATTGCACACTTTCGTTTCTCCTTTTCTGTGGTTTTAGAAATTTCGCTTATTCAGATCAGATAGTATATTCCGTCATCGTCTAAATATTAAAAGAATTATTATTATTTCAAATTTCTATGTCAGTTTATAAGTGAAATACAGTGCTGCAATCGCGTATTATACATTTTACAGCAGATTAAAAAAGACATGACGAACATTTACCATTAGAGTTACCCCCCTTCCTTTTTATTCATATTTCTTATTTTCTTTCTTCTGATATAATTTTATGTGATTTCTTTGAATAAAATTTCATCGAAATGTTATCGTTTTTAAGTTGGATGTTTTGGTCCTGCTGTTTCGACTCATAAAACAAAATATGGGGCACTTCCGCTCTTAACGCTGAACAATGCAGTTGTAGATGGCGCTTTCTGTTTGACTCCATACAAGGAATCCATAATGGTAAGTGAAAGAACTCTTCCTTGTGAAATACATTGATCTCATCTGTCTGAGGATATGTAGGTGGATTCTAAAGGTGTTTTCATCTAATACATTCTTTGTTGCTTCAATTCTATAACCATTACTATTCATTAGTGCTTAGTTCTACATGTATGACCCGTCTGAAGTTGTTACCAAGGCCTTAAAAATCGGGATCATCTGCGTTTCAATATTCCTGTTGGTGCACGTGCTTGATTTGTTTGTGTTATGTTGGACATACTTAACAGTTTCTCGTTGACGTAGACTAACAGCATTATTTTAAACGCTTAGTGATTTGGAACATAGTACCGTAAATGTGTTAGTACAGCTGTTTATAATATTGTGTAATGCCGGTGATTCTACAAGACCTACTAAAGTACGACGCAGTGTTTACATTTGTACGGTATATACTTTTGTGATATCGTTACGTTTGGTTTCATTTGAAAGATACATTTTTGAGCAGCTGTTAAGGAGATGAAAATCTGAAGCTATTGTAGATTCGTAAGACGTCGTTGGCTCATAATCTTAATTTTATTATTTCTGTGTCTTTTAAAAAATACCAAGAGCAAATCTAGAAAAACAAACTATTCTATATGCAGATGAGAGTGGTTACAATGCTGCTTGATGAATCTTCATGTTCAGTGATCCTGTGCACCTCAAATTGCTTGGAAGACACATGGCAAATGCAAACAGAATCAGTTTAATACTCTGAAAATGTAATAATACTATATACCCATTAAATCTCATTTAATAGATTTGCCAGAAATGCAACAACTTGTGCATAATTATCCAATCCACAGAATCATTGAACCCAATTACATTACAAATGCACAGCTTGTTGTTTGTTGGTTACAGCAGTCATGATATCTATTTACTAGGGATTACACCCAGGTCTTCTAGTTAACTAGTTTTACACTCATTTGAGATAAAGACATGTTCTCTCTAGATATTGAGTATATTGTTATACCCTCAACCCCTACCAGAATAGTTCTTTCCTCAACCCCTGGGGTAACAGTGATGTTTGTTGAGGTTGTTGAACAAGGATAATGAATATTTCATTGATATCCTCTTAGTTCTTACATGGTCTATGATGTAACCAAGTGTTAGGGATCAAACCCAAGAGCTCTCCCGATCTCAACATCAAGGATAGAGCCTATGAGAAGTTCTCTTCATTGATAGGGAAATAAAATGTGGCTAGGAATTATATTTTACTACATTTGCTACATTTATGAATGTAATAATAGCCATGGACGGTAATTTTGATGGTCTTGATATTCAGACAAATCAATAATCTGACTCACAATAGCTACACAGATGTAACTGTGGTATGGCCATGGTGAGTGAATATTACACTGGTACACTGTACAGACCTTCACACTAAAATTATACATTGTAGGATGTGTTTTTAATGATAAGGCGGAGAAAGTGCACCATCTTCACAGATGCGAAGGAGTCTACCACAGTTCATGAGGTAAAGAAGATAATAGAGGGTATATTAAAAACCAGACCAGATGACCAGAAGCTATACAAAGATGACCAGGTAAATCTGAATATTTCCAATAAAAGTGATTGATCTGCAGTATATTTTCATCAGTCCATTTCAACTTTATTGCTAAAAAATACATAGGTCCAACAATTTAAAATTAAGTTTATACTGAAATTCTATATGTCCCATAAAAATCATTTGAGTACAGGACTGTATGTAGATGTATCAGTGAAATAAGCTATAACTGGCAGATATTTAGCTGCTCCAATTAACAGAAGAAACATGTATACAGCAAATACAATTTCAATAATGAGTTTTGATTGTTCACCTGATCATGCATATTTGATATCAAAAAATATTATTGAATTCCACCACTAACAGATAGTATTGTGGTAAAATGGGTTATCTTTCTATTCTTGACTAGGACTTAATTATAAAAGAAAAAGGTGCTCTGTATGGATAATTTTATGTAGATGTTTCTTGTTATTAAGTTTTACACCTTCAGTTTTAAAACTTCATTGAGATGAATATTTCTCAATTAAGACAAACAAAAAAACATGGGTTACCTGTGACATGTTGGGAAAATTTAGGGTAGGTAAGAAAATTTTTACTTTCTAAATAGTTTCATAGAGTATATATAGGAGAGAGGTCTTGTATAGTTAAAATTTAGGAAAGGCACAAAATGCGTGGGTACATTTGAATGTAAGGTTACCGAAAACAGGAAATATTCTTTGTTTGACCTTATTAACATTTTCATAACATTCCACAAAGACTCACAACCAAGTGAAAATATCCCCATGAAAAAAATCCATTTATATGAGGGTAATGGTACATTGACAAATTGTTAAACTTGTTTCTCCTTTTTTCATCAACATATTTTAGTGTAGAAGAGTTTTGACTTTTCACCCCTTGAATTTAAATGTGTATATGTTTGATTTCCCTTGACAGCCCTTAGATGACAATAAAACACTTGGTGATTATGGATTCACATTTGCCACAGCAAGAGCACAGGCACCAGCAACAATTGGTTTGGCTTTCAGACAGGAAGGTAAGTAAACAGTATAATTTAATTCAGAATTCTTGAGAAGCACAAGATGGATCTTTCTCAAATTTCATATGTAGTTTCCCCATGGTCTGAAGTGGTGTCCATTTGATTTAAGGATTGATCAAAATAACAGAATTTCTGACAGGTGGCCATCTTAGATTTTTTAAATGACATTTCTTGAAAGGTACCGGACTAATTTCTACCAAATGTCATATGTAGGTTCCCATTGGTCTCTAGTTGTGCCCATTTCATTTTGGGACTGATCAGTAAAACAAAATGGCCAGCAGGTGGCCATCTTTGATTTTGACTTTTTAAGTTTGTTATTGCTATTTCTTGCGAACTACAGCATAGATCTTTCTCAAATTTCATGTGTATCTTGTGTTAATCCTTCATTGTGACTGTTCCCTTGATCCCTATAATTGCCCAGGGGACCTACAAATCACCTCTGGCTAAAAGTAAGGGGCTGGGCCAATCACTACGCAATGGATCACCATATGTTTGTAACTCTACTGATCACTAGTTGTGTCTGTTTGAGTTTGGTACTGATCAGAATAAGAAAATGGCTAACAGACAGCAATCACAGATTTTGTCTAGTAAAGATTGTTATCTCTATTTCTTAAGAAGTACTAAATGGATCTCTGTCAAATTTCATACATATGTTCCGTTTGGTCTCTACTTGTGCCCGATTGATTTTGGGACTGATCAGAAGAATCAGAAGGCTTTCAGGTGACCATTTTGGATTTGGCAGATGAAAATTATCATTGCTATTTCTGAAAAGGAATACTCAAATTTCTTATCATTCAGAGCAAAAACAGTGAAGAGAAAAGAAGGGAAAAGTCAACTTTCAAAGAGCAAATACTGATCAAACAAGGGTTGGTGCCAAGATCCCTCTGGGATCTCTTGTATTTGATGGTGGCCTTTTGAACTTTGTATTTGATTGTATTCAGCACACCCACTTTTATTAATTTCTATTTGAATTGATATATCCATCGAATGTTTCTCATTAGACACCACTGAGCTAGATATATTTTGGTGTTATCTTTACATAATTATTAAGTGGAAATTTTCTCAGAAACTTATTGAATCACTTAAATTTGCTAAGTGATGCATATATTGAGGCTTTATTGAGATATTGTATTGTTATTTCATTAAACAGGGCTGATATTTCATGTTTCTACTAGTTCAGATTCGTCCTGTTTCTGACTTTTTGATGAGAGTTTCAATTTTGAGCTATTACCCATTAGCAGTAAACAGGATAACAAAACATGTATTTACAATGGGCATGTACACAGGCATATAATACACATTTTAAGAGAATTTGATTCACTTGTAAGAAGATTTGTTGGGTATTTTATTTCCTGTTATGTTGAATGACCCTGTATAAAGTGAAATAAAATCGGCTGTGAATATTACTAACTATACAGTATGTAACTCAGGCTTTTCCACCAAATGCATACATGAATGTTATCTCTTCATTGATTTCTAGCTATGTTCTCGGAGCCAATATTATTTGACCCCACTCGAGGGAAAATGTTCTATTTACAAATTCAATTTATCAGTTGTACTTTGTCTGAGTTTGGCAATTTATAGGACTAGCATTACTGGATGATACATTAATGATGCATTGATAATTTCTTTGTATGGTACAGATTACAATGATTATTGCGTAAATATATGTAACAATATGTTTGGGTGACTGTTTTTCACAAACTTCAAGTATTCTTACTAGAATATGAAAGTGTTTTATTTTTAGTTAGGTTTACAACATTCACATTGTCATTGGTTTACAATCCAGATGGAGAATTTGAAGCTTTGGAGGTGACACCTTTGTCCAGTCCGCCAGAACTCCCAGACGTCATGAAGCCACAAGATTCCACTTCAGCACATGCACAAGAACAAACAGCATCATAATCACCTGTCTTAAGCTGTAGAAATATGTTTATAAAAAATTCTTGCTGATTAGCCACTTAACTCACTTGTAACAAATGAAGAGAAGAAAATTACAAAAAAAAACCTTGTCAAAACACCCTAATTAGTACTGGAGGATGGAAATGGTTCCGGACATATCTTATCAATGATGCCTGCTCATCTTAGAATGAAAGAAAGAATATTGTTTCTCATGTAGATTTGTTTTTCTTTATTTATTAACTTCTAGTTTTAACATTGCTACAAAATACAGCATACCCTTTTGTCTGCGATATAACACCAATTTCCATTCAGTTACCATGGCAAAGTTAGTTTATAATGTGTGTTTGTGTGTGTGTGGTGGCCTGCTAAAGACCACTTGCAACAGATGAATGAGACTTAGTAAATTTTAAACTATCCTTTCAGAGAGAAAATCAAGTACATTGGTCAAGTGTTACATTTTCTTTGTTGATGCCAACTTCATTATCTCTCAAGAAATCTGTTCAATTTAGAAATACATTAACTTAAGAAATTAAAAACAAGGTATTGTACATAAAGCAATATTCAAATATACAGTAGTATTTTAATAAGATAAAAACAAACTCGTAGTAGCTTAGGACCTAGTTGCTACCTCTGATAATGATTAGAGAAAATTACTAATTACTGGGCATTATACCAGGTATAAAAATGGACTGAAGCTTATCAATGGCAAGAGATGGAACCTGCGTTCTTCAAGAAGGGGGCTAAACAAATCTGATAAGATTATCTATATATAAATGTTATGTGTATATGTACAGTTTTTGTTTTTAATGATTTACAAAATGTTGTGGACTTGTGATATATTGAATAATCTCTGTATTCACTTGAAAAAAACTAGCATGGTCAGATTCATTGAAATTCACACAACTGGAGTAATCCCTTATGTTCATATGCTTAAGCAATACATATACATTATTTCAGATTTAAAATTTTGAGAACAAAATTTTAATATCTGTAACTCCACCTCAATCAGAAATGTGGAACACCACCCTACTTGAACATTGTTTCATAAATTGCAAATAGAATTGAGAAGAAATTCTTAAAACAAAGGCCGATATTAAATAAACACTATATACAAATATAATACAGAATGATTTAATTGCCTGATGTGGATAAGGGTATTAAGACATATAATGCTGTTGAATGTGTGTCGCAATATACATTTCTGTCTTTGAAAATAAATTTTACTGAACTTGAACAAATATCAAAGGTGAAAAATAATAGGCATTTTGATTTTAAATGTCTGCAATTTTGAGAAAAAAAGTTAAGTTATCACACTGTAATTTCCAATATGGATGCATTTAAGTAAATCTGTCTTGACATATCTTTCATAGTGATATTGAACGAATTGTACAGATGTTCTTTTTATAAATATATTCAACATTAAATCTCATGTCAGCTGGAAATGTTAGTTTTGCTTGTTTGAGAAAGGACTTTTTCTCCAATTTCTACCATATTGAAATATTTTGCATATTACTGTTACCTATTCAAACAGTAGGAATAAGTGTTGCACTTGTAGCAGTGTCAAAATCATCTCCAATAAATATTTATGTCCTATTTTCCATCTTTTTCTTCCTTTTTTTCAATTTCTCATTTTCCTTGTTTTTGAACTTGGAAAGAAAATGAACTACATAAGTTTTTCTCTTTTATGAAAGCCAGGTTTTTTTTTTGGTTGATTTAAATGCTACCATTCTGATCGTTGTATTGGATTGAAAAGTCAAGATTAATTAAAATATCTAAGTATTGATACAAAGTTGTTTTGATTTGAAATTTCTGCGGTGTGAAATGACTGGAAGTAGGTGCAAAGTTCTGTTCCATTATGATGTATATCATTCTTCTGTCAATATATGTTGGAGCAAACCTGTAAATTTCACAATAAAAGTAGACGCATTGATGACAAGAAATGGAATGCAAAGGGCTAAAAGCTAAGGATAAATCAGAGAATCACTTATGGTGCCAGAGACCAATTCAAAAATTTCCATTTGATTTTTTCTTCTAAAAGGAGGTTGTGGTATTGCTATTAAATCGGTTTTTATAACAGTTGAAATTGAAACACATATTTGTTTGCATTCCAAACAAGGTATATTAAAAGTCTTGATAGGGAGATAAATGCAAAGGGTTAAGATATATGAAGAAATTAATGACTGCGTACTAATGCGTTCCTGTTTTGCCTAAGATCAGTAAAGTAAGTGTCTCTAAGAAGGAAGTTCATTCCTCTCGTTGCTCATCTGAGCAGAATCTTCAGCAAACCATTGGACAGTAAGACCATGAGAGCTAACGAACACTGGTTATAATATTGCATTACTTTTTTAATAACTTTTAAAGAAACATGAACTGCATGAACATTAAGGCACTTACCTGCCCTTGAGAATTGTTCATTGTACGTTATGATGTAGTTAACAATCAAAAGTTTTCCTCCTGAAGAGTACTTCAGGGGGTTCTTGGTAGCGAAAGTTGTTCTAATGAAGCCTTCGAGGTGAAACTGGTAGACAGATTAAACATCCACCTACAGATAACATGCAAGTATGTTGTGATTAATTTCTTCTTCATATATACTATTTAGTTTTTGTTTAATTGCCCTGCTTACCCTTTGGTATCCATACCCCACCAAGAACCCACCACCTACTTACACCCAACATTGGCTCCTCCCTTTTTTGAAGGGTTGAGATGTGACAGACATGGTCAAACCCCTCAGAAGTTGTAGAAATCTCACCAACTTCTGTTAAAGATTTTTTTGATGTATTGCAATATAGAAACAAGTACTAATTGTAATTGGAACCATTACAAATGTCCCCCAACTTGGCCAAATTTTGACCACAGCTGACCGCTCAGATGGCCAAATGAAAAATGGACTTCGCCATTTTGCTCCTAGTGCCACCTTATACATATATACCAATTTTCATGAAAATCGAACAATATCTAAAATTTGGCCAAATTATGACCACAGCTGACTGCTCAGATGACCATTCAATGGCCGAACAAAAAATGGACTACGCCTTTTTGCTCCGATTGCCACCTAATATATATATACCAATTTTCACGCAAATCGGACAATATCTTAAATTTGACCAAATTTAGACCACAGATCACCGATCGATGGCTGAATGAAAAAATTGAACACAACTGACTGCTCAGATGACCGATTGGAAATATTCAAGTGGCCTGCAGTCCACCTCGCATGTATGAATATGTGTGTAAATTTTTGTTAAATTCCATGCAATAGTTTTTGAGAAACACGTTGGAAACCTCACCGGCGGAAGAAAGAGGAAGAAATAAGAATAATATAAATAATAATAAAAATAATAATAATAAGAAGAAGAAACGGAGCAAACACTTTATGTACCCCCACTTTGTTTGGGGGACGGGACATAATGAAGAATGCAGATGTATTTGTATACCTATCCACGGCACAAAAGCCAGGATAAAACACAGTTTCAATCACTTTAGAAGTGGTTTCCTTTTAGATATAGTATGCATTACTTTTCAATCATACACTAGTTATTTAAAAGGACATCAGGAAAGACTAGAGTAATGCAGCATAAATTTTGATAAAACCTATGTAAACAATAAGATATCAGATGAATCCCAAATTAAGGACATGTACAACCGTAGCCCCTAATTATTGTAATAAGAAAGACAATATAATAATAAGATTATAATAATTCATTGATAATAATAATCAACCTAGAGCACCACAGTGGAACAACATTATGCCATCACAAGTGAAAGAATTTTTTTGTATCATAATAAATACTTGTATGAATCAAATATTATTGTCTATCAGAATGCCACAGAGAATTATTATTATTATTATGACATTCTTAACGGCCCGGCAACGCATAAAAGGTCATTAGGACCATCAACCAGTAAAACACGCAGTAATTCAAAAAGGAAATAACATCAAACTAAAATGTAAAAAGACCAATGCGAAAAGTTTTGAATGGTTATATTATCACAAAAGATGAAAATTCTCAGTCATAGTCTATAATACAAACCAACGTCTTTCAGATAACCTAGAATTTTATTTATCTTAACAGTTTTAAAAAAGGGTCTTTAGACTTGTAATGTTACAATAAAAAAACACTAGAGTAAACAGAAGGTCAATGCAGTCCAATAAAAAATGTTTTACGGTGAACGGCTCATCACATCCTTTGCACTGAGGGTTATCTTCGCCTTTCAACATATACAAATGCGTAAGGTATGTATGGCCCACCAAAGACGGACAAGGACATCTTTATCTCAATGGTGGTCTCCATAGGATGGAGACCATTCACTGAGGATAGGTTTTATGGAGTGCAGTTTATTGTTAGTATACTTATGTCATTCCTCCTGCCACTGAGTTGTTCAAAATTGTTTGATAAATGGTTTGAAATCAGTAAAATGAATTTTAAAAACAACAGGTGGTAGCGATAAAGCTTCCTTTGGGGCATGATCTGCTTTTTCATTGCCTGGTATTCCCATGTGCCAAGGAACCCAGCAGAAAGCAATACTAAAGTTAAAGGCAAGTTCATGATGTATTCATGTATTACGATTAAAAATATTTTCGATATTTCTGTTGCTAAGACTTTGTAGTACAGAAAGAGAGTCTGAATAGATAACAGCTCTCATTACTTTGTTTGAATATATTCAAGGGCGAGGTAGATAGCTTGTGCTTCTGCCAAGAATATTGAGGCTTTCAGTAGCTGGCATCCATAAACTTCATTTTGTGAAACCATTGCTGCAACAAACTAATCGTTATCTTTTGAACTATCTGTATATAAATGTAGAAATGTTTTATAATTTAGCTGCAATTTCGAAAAGAATAAACAAAAGGTGCTACTGTCAGTGTCTGATTTAACCATTTCTTGAAGTGAAAAGTCAACTTCAGGTGAATTCAAGAGCCAGTATGGAATTTCTACCATTCCAAATGACTGATTTTGGTCAATATCAATATTTATGTTTTGTAAAAGAAATCCGAATACCAAATGGTGGAATGGTATTTGGTTTGTTTTGAAACAAGGTTTTATATTTTGGATCAAATATGAATGAAAATGCAGGATTTGAAGGCTTTTACTAGAGTTGAATGGTGTATTGCAAAGCCATTTTATTTTTGACTACTATATAGTGATGGTTACATAGAGGCTTGGTGTAGATTTGGTCTTAAAAGCTCGGAGAGCGAGTCTCAGACCCTGGTGATGAACAGTGTCTAATGATAAGGATAAAATAAAGTTACATATCATTAAAATAAATTAATCATTTATGAACAAAATTTGGTCAGAACTTCAGGCAAAAGATCTAAACACAATATCAGAAGCTCAAAAGAATGAAGGACAAAAATAACTCCCAAAATTTGTTGAGTCAAAATGTCACAGGGAGGTATAGTGCTATATTTTGATGATGAAGCATACCAGATTTTACTGGGTACCATCATTGTTGTAGATGACAATAGCAACTGATTAAGTGGTTCCTTGATCAGCAGATTATCGCAGGTGATGAAAATGGCGAATGTTTGAACTTCATGAAATACCGTGGCTCATGAACACAGTTGGCATAGAAACCAAAACACAATGAGAGTTATGCAGATTAATCAAAGAATGTCTTGAGATCATTACAAAATAACATAATTTTATTTGCTTAAAAAAACAATATGTGAAATGTATTGATTAAATAATTACAATTTGAAATTGTACTTGCGATGAAAGCATTTTCCCAGCCGCAAAAGAAAAACAAAAAGAGCTATGCCTGTTTCATGGACTGGTTTTCATAAAGACATGATAAATGTATAGTATAGAGAAGCAGTATTTTTATAAATAATAACATGTATGTGTAAAAGTGATTCACCTGTAATAATCTCGAATATAAGTTAAGGCAATCTTACCCATACAAATATCCCACTCATGCACAAATATTCCAGGAAAATGAATTGTGAAGCAAAGTCACTAGTTATTTTAGTTGTTACTATACATTGTTGAGAAAATAGTTTCATCAATTAGATTGTTATTTACTGGAAAGCATGTCACTTAAGTGTCATGTTTCACAATCAAAAGCAAGAACCGAAATATCCAACATCTTTATCAATATACATTAGCTTTAAATGACAAGTCTCTAGTCTGGAATATATTGAGAAAGCTTGTTTTGTGAATTACTGCTGACAATACAACTACATAAATGTAATGATTTAATCACATACTCCTCACATGAAATATTCAATCTTGCACACTGTTTAAAATCAAGGAAGTGTCAACACCAGCTTTTTAATATTCATATGTAGAAACTGTAAAGTCATATTTTTTTGTAGGGCTCAAATTTCATGGTTTCCTAAAGATATACATTTTCATGGATAAATCTTCCTCACAATACTCACTAGAACTATAATTCATGTAATCCATAGGCATAGGAATTTGTAGATTTAGAGTACCACTCATTTTATGAAAATAAATGCCCCATGAAAATTAATGATTTACAGTACAATGCCTTACTTTAAAACGTTAAAAAAATTATAATAATGAAAAAAGCTAATGCAAAATTTTCAGCTTCAGTTACAAGAGACGAGATGGGCCTATATTGCTAGCCTTCTATCAATACTGTTGGCAATTACAATACCTCAAACTTCTGACCTTCAGAGTGTAATAAGGTCAGTCTCAAACATTATACTATCACAACTTCACATCTTAGCTTATTCATCTTGTAACCTTCCAAGTTGTTCAAGGTCACTTATACCAATTAATACTAGTGCCATACCTTTTGTACCTACAGACTTTCACCCACATTGAACTATGCTTTACTTAAATGAGTGGAACAAGAAGCTAGTTAAATTTATATGATGAAATTCTATGTCATGATTTTTAACTGATATATACCTCTAACATTATTACATCAAATTGTTTAAATTCTTACCTTATAAAAAATCTCTGACCTCCAACATACCAAGCAGATAAAAACCATTAACTTGTATAGACTTTTAAGCTGTTAATACCAACATGTTATTGGCCAACATGATGTCATCACAGCAGTAAGTACACACGTCTTCATAGAGACGATCAAACAATATCATACTCGTATTCAAAACTCCATACAGACCAACCTAGGGCAAGAGGTGGAACAACATGTGCTTGTCCAGTGTTAGAGAAATATTTCTGATTTATTGTACCACAAAGAATACAAATATGGAGTTGGTTATGTTCATTCAAAATGCCAAGAGGGAAAACAAGGCTATGATATGATACTCTGATGAGGAATAAAAGCCATACCATTATACATTGTCAATTTTACGTCATTGTCTTTGACAGGCATATAAAAAGGCACTTATCATAGCTTGTATAATTCTATTTCTATCCACACAACATTGTATAATTCTGTTTATATCCACTCATTCTTCTACAACCTTTATTGTTCATGATCATATTATTTTGCTTCTATCCATCCACTTATGTATAATTCTTTCTATCCACTCAACATTTTATAATTTTGATTCATTCTACAAAATACTGCATAATTATGTTTTTATCCACTCAGATTGCACGATTATGTTTCTATCCACCTAGTCTTGTTTGATTTTTATCCACTCAACATTGTATCATTTTGTTTCTATTCACTCAATATTGTAAAATTCTTTTCTTCTATCAATAACATTGTATAATTTTGTTTCTATTAACTAAACATTGTTCAATTCTGTTTCTTTTAATTAAACATTGCATAATTCTGTTTCTGCTTATCATAAACCATGCTCTGCTTGTTTTATTAATTCATTTTCTTCTTTAGCACAATGTTCATCACTTCAGCAATTCACAATTAAATATGGAATGTAAGATCCAGCACTGACCATATATCAAGGATAAAGAAACAATTGTCAGTTTCAGTAGAGACAGAAACCTGGTAAATTCTATATTTGGCACAAATAGTATACAATGAATTCACTTAAACATTTCCTCTTAATGTTTTACAGAAATGTTTTTGACCATTGTCTAGTGTCTTGCTCTAAGTGTAATAATTTCTTTATTAGTTAGCTGTGAAGGGCTGTGTCTAATGCATATGAAATAAAATTTTCACACATGGGATGACAGTATCATTTCCCAAAATTGTCAATTTCCTGAGGTTTTCTAATCCACTCCCCAATGCCTATCTGTGCACAATGAGTGTAGAATGCCTGTTTTGCAGTCTGGTAGTTCTTGGCAGTGTTTTTAGCGGCTGTGAAAGATGGAATCTGGAGTAATGGGTATTGCTGGGTGGCTTTAGCTAACTCCTTAAATCTGTGTAGAAGTGCAGCTTTACATAGGCGGCTGGCACCATTGGCTCCAGCCTTGTGAGGTGACCTGTAACAATAAATCAGGCATGTGGTGAATGTTCTATGACATTGTCTGAAAACATTCAAAATACCAAACTCTGTTGATAATTTATCAAGTTTTATAGAAATACACAAAAAATATTTGACTGTTAGCCTCTGGGTGTACCATTCTTACATCATTTTTTTCATTATCAATTTGAAATGCAAACATACATGTCAGATGCTCGGCCAGTATTTCCATCAATCACTTCAACTTTTTCGTCTCCATGAGACCAGTTCATACACAGTGGAGTGGCATGCACCCCAATGTCAGGGGAGGGTAAGGAAGTTGTAGTCAGTGTGGGATGGTTTATGTGGTAGGGTGGAGGCAGTGACTCCTGCAGCACATCGTAAACACGGCAGCAAACTGCCCGACAGAAGTGGCCATGGTCAAAGTGACGTTCTGAATAAAGATAAAGTTATTCAATGTATACAGTACATGTTAATGTTAAAACTCCAACATAATATGTAATTTAAATTGTCTGTCATGATATAAAAATATCACAGAGTTAGATATATTCCATTTCCCTTTACTGTTGTTTTACTAAGTCTTCCATGATGAAAGCCTAGCAATGGATTTACTTTATATTGTGTTTTTGCCAGTCACAAATTTTGCAATTTTCATTAAGAGCGAGAGAATTCAACAAGTATAACATTAAATTAAAATATTTTGCAATCTGGATATAAGAAAATATCTTCTCTTTGTGAATATTAAAAGCAATCTGTTGTAATAGTCGAAATATCCTTAAACAAGTGACCTGGCCTGCTAGTTACACTATCAATATCACAACAGTTTTAACTGCAGTTGATATCACAAATGATATCGAAACCTGTCTCATTATCTCATGAATCAAATTTCCATGATCTGTTGGCCAGTGAAAATATCATCCCTGCAAAATTAACAAGTCATACATTATTATCAGCTCTTACCAACAGTGATGGACTTGATGTAGACAGGTTGAAGAAAACAGGAGTAAAGTGCCCCTTGGATACCGACAATGTTCCACAACAGCAGTTTGTCACTACAAGACATCACAGAAAGTTCCTCTGTCTCAAGATCTGCCAATGTCTGCTGGCCAGTGTCTTCCTCCTCTACAGGGTTCACCTCCTCTGAAAAGGAAAGGCATTTGAGAAAACAACATGGTTATTACAGACGAATCAAAGTATACAATAAATCTAAAATTGGGTAACACAAAAGATATATCAGTTATCAGAACCAGTCTAATATTGTTGTAAAACACTCGAATTTGGTACATAAATTTTAATGTCTAATAATTGCTAGGTTGCGTGTTAAAATTCTCCATTTCCTTTCTGCTGTTCTACAAAATAAGTTTGCCTAATGTTCACCGGTGATGTTTGTTTTACCAGGTATGGTACGAAAATAGGTGTAATCCCTCACCACTGAAGTTAACTAAAATGAGCCAGTGGTAATTACCTAGATAATTCTTAACACAAAGCCAGCCTGGAAAGTCTTCACTAAAGGCTGGGTAGTGAGCTCCTTTTGTGACCAAGTCTTTCTGTTCTGCTGTCAGCGGGGGACTAGGTGTCGGTCTATTCATGCAAAACAAAATACATTGTATTTTAAAACTTTTTTTCCTAATTTTGGCACACATGAATACCATGTAATAACAATTTAAAAAATGTACTTGTAACCTTTATGAATTTTATCAAAGACCTGTAATAAATACATATGACAGTTACACATGTATACTTCTATAGATCTACTGGTACAAAACCATCCATAACATCAAATAGTGTTACTTATTATGTCATTTACAGTCTCATGAATCCATCGTTCAATAAGAAAGATGAAATATTGCATTACTCAACTTCTGATCTATGTAATGTGGAACACTAAACTACATACAAAATATTTTTCATGCAAATCACATAGCTTAGGTTTGTCTGACCCAACACTCTCTATGACAGACTATTCAGATGCCTGGACAAACATGTTCTGTTTGATTGATTTCATATGGTTATTACAGTCTTATTGCATCAGAAAAGTTTTTCTGTCTTGATAGCTGAATTTTTTGTAATTTTAACAAACACATGAAGTAAATTTTTCAAAAAGACATGAAATTGACTAAAGTTTTTCTTTTCTTAAGTCCAAACAAAAAAACATCTTGTTTATGGTAACCTTACCTTCTAAATATTTTGCGCCTTACCTAATCTTTTGAAAGCAATTTTCAAAGAAGCACTGCTAAAGGCAAGATCTCACTCCTTTATATACCATATTAAATGATTTATTTGGGTAAACATTTTTACCTGCCTTCCTGCCCTAAATTTTTCCAAGGTGTTACAGGAAACACAACTATTTTTTGTCTGGCTTTATCTAATTTTTCTTGCACCCATTTTCAGATTATTCCATCCTCAAAAATAACGTCTGTATTGAAGGTTGTAGGTGCGAGGCAAAAAAGATTATATTCCAGAATAAATATCATACTTTTCTGAACTTTTCATTGAGTTCTACTTACTCTGTTTCAGTGTAGAAGCCATAGTCTCCACAAGGTGGCTCACTCAAGTAAAGATGTAAACTTATATAGTCCTTCAATTTTAACATACACGATGTCTCTGATATTTGTTCAAATATTGATAAAACTTTGCTACCATCATAATAACTCTTCATTTCTTTAAAAAAATATCTGCAAGAAAAAAGAAGCAATATGACAAAGTGGAATATCACTGTTCTAACAGGTAAATAACAATGACCTGAATCAATATTTCACTTATTCACCCCAATCAATATTATTCACATGGCTTCTTGTTCAACCATGAAACTGTTCAACTGTTCAGATCGTTAAAATTTGATCTGTGACCTTGATCTTTACCAACATAGTATCTTTTTTTCAAATCTGTACAAGTTTAGTTAACAGTCAAACATGCAATTAAAAGAAAAGTTGACCTCTTTCTGACAATGACCATTGACCTGTCAATCAAAAGTAATTATATAGCTCCAGATATAACTCTCACTGTTGTATATTCCATCAAACGGTATTTATAGTTTTTCTTGAGCAAAAAAGTTCAGGCTGTAAGACAAAAAAAAACCCAATAGTTATTGTAACACCTTTGAACTACATGCACTTACTTCAGTAGAGCCCTTCGGGCCATCGCCACTGCATAGCTGTCAATCAAACACCGACCATCAAAGGTAAGATTTGTCTTTGCTATACAAGAGTTACCTGTTCCTACGGCAACAACTTCACAATTACCATCACCTATAAAATATTTATATCAAAATATATTCTGAAAATTATATTTCAATATGTCACATATGGAAACAAATTTTATTGTTGTTTTTATATTCTAGACACAGCTTTCCGGTTAATTTGCATTTTACTTAAAAAATTATCGAGACTGAAGAATACTTAAAAAACAATTCTGTTTATAATAATAAACTGTATTTATTTCACAACAGTTGTGAAGCAAGTTTCTCCAACTTATGTTAATTTCTCTTGTTGGCCCAGTTGGAAGTGCATGACGGGTCTTACTGTGGGTGGAAACCAGAGTACCCAGGAAAAACCCATGTGGTTGGGCAGGTGACCCCACACCTTTCCACATCCATTCAAGGAATCAAACCCCAGATGGCTTGGTGAAAGGCGAGTGTGTTACCACTGTGCCACCTGTCCACCCAACAATTTTGTTAACTTTGCTCCAAAGGAATAAAGGAATTATCCTCAATTCATTTGGAAATACTGTTCCAATACTTGTAACAAAATAACTCAGTCTACAATCAATCTAGTGAACCTATCAACTTGTAACAGGCTTACCTCTTTTGATGACAAATGCTGCCAGTGATGTCTTACATTGTGCTAGCAATGGTACTTCTTTAAACATGCTCTCCAGTTTTAGGCCACATATCTGAGAAATCTTGTCCTCCTCTGTCATTACTACCTCTGTTGCCTTTTTCATCTTCAACACAATATTCACGAAATACTCTGGAGTAAAATATCTCTCAAAAATTACAATTATGTTTGCCTATTAAACTAACTTAGGGACAAACTCTCCATTTATTTGGTTTGTATGTACAGGTCAATACAAGTTATTGGACGTATTCATCATGTAACTTTTTTGTTTTGATTTTTTTTCCAATTTCTGCTTTTGAATAAACAGTTAAATAAATTTTGATCTTAACAGATTGCAACCTAGGCTTTCAGTGAGTATGGAATACAAAGTTGAAATAAATTATTGTTGATTTTCAATTTCAGTTATTTAAATAATGTTTTAGATAATAAATTTCAAAGTCTACAAAAGTTTTTGAAGTCACAACCAATTACAGCAAGAGCAAGTGTGTCATTGAAATATGGTGTTATTATGAAAGTTCTTTGGAACTAAAAAGTCTACAGTATTTGTATCTTTGATACCTCATCTTGCTGTGTGAGATGGTAAAGGGCACTCTGGCAAGCCAATCTTTTGCTGTCTTTCTTGTTACTGCCAGTGCCTTCTCCAATAATATCATCATTGATTAACACAAATGCCTCATACCTACAACACAATGTAAAGTAACACTAGTTGTTCAAAGTCCAGTCTTTTAATACTCTGAATATACTAACATCTCAGAATATACTAACAACTCAGAATATACTAACAGGACATTAGATCTATTTTAAGAATGCCATATTCAACTCCCTTGAGAGATGCAGACATGTTAAATAAGACAACTGTACTTTATACAGTATATAAGTTTTGTACTTAGACAAAGTAACAGATCATAAACAAAGGGCAATAACTCTATATTAAAAAGCACAAATGTTGCATTTTTTGTGTGATATCTTGTTATATACAGTACACATGATATGCCCTGAAAATTATGATGCAATTAAGGATGGCCTGATAATAGAGGACAAACTTTTCTCCCATCTCTGCCCATGTAGGATAGACAGGTCACATGTGGAACACCCATGGAGGATAAATCTATCCCACATGACTGCACTCGGTGACCTCAGTCGGCTATCACAACTGACTCAAACCGACGAGTGGATGCTTTATTTGCAGGTTCCATAATGCGCAACTGTAACATCACAGTTAACATTAACTATAACAATCCTTGTCCAGTGAACACAAATAAACGTCGGAGGATCATCTATGACTGTGATTCTGAATGAACACACGCGTGACACTCCATTGCAATTTTTCGCGCCTATAAACAATTGACGTCATTATAAACTAGGAAATCACCTTTTTGTCCATGACATCGCGGCAAGCCTACCCTACCTTAATAAATGATACGGAGTTAAATGTTGTTCAATACAAGTATTTCCATGTATCTATCGCTAATTAAAATATTTAATTTCCAAAAATAAATATTTTTAATGGTTATTCATATTGCGTTTGTAGTCTGTCATTTTGCTCTCGGGGAAGAATGTAGAATTTTGGAAACGTGAATGGTGATATTCATGTGCCATTCAGACACTTGTACCGTGGGATTTTTTTTTACGTCATGGCGGAAATAATGGGGTGGGAGAAAAATAATCAACCCCGACCCTCAGAGGATGTGACAGAGAAATCTCCAACCCTCGGGGTGATTTTTTTGTAGTCTAACCCTCGGGTTAGACAACAACAAAAATCACCCCTCGAGATGGAGATTTCTCTATCACACCCTCAGGGTCGGGGAAGATTCTATTAGTAATCACCATTTAAGGACTAATTAAGAGAGTTATGTCCCTTGTTGTCAGAAACTGATCAAGGACAGTTCTCTCATGTATCAGAACTAAAGTTTAAATTCTTTCATGCAAATAAGTAAAAAATTAAGAGACTTAAGCATCATCAAGTCAGAAATCATTTCCATTAGATTTTAATCTGATAAATTGTTCAAATAAACTTAGATTGTACTTTCTTAAAACCTTTACATTGGTATTATTCTATGTTTTATTGAAATTCATGAGGTATCTCATGTTTTTGTTTAGAAAGCAATGTTGATCAAAGTTCAATATTGAAAAGCTTGCATGGCTTAGTATATAAGGTGGCCCAGTCAAACACACTACAGATCTCCAATGGGCTGATCCTTTACTCAAGGCTATGAACTGTCCTAGAGACTGGAATACACCATATGATCTGTACACATAGATTCAGGATAAACAGCTATCGTTATATGTATGTTCTTTAATTTGTCACAATTAATTTTACTTCTTTATATGATTATGAGGTTTGATCAAAATCTTTGAAAAATGAAACTGTTAAAAAACCAATAAGGATTTCCCCCAAAACAGTAACAGTGACCTATGCCATAACAATCCTGAAAGTCCAACTTGTATGATATATTATGGTTCCTTATATGCTTGTGATGTTTGACAGAAAATCCCTCAAAGAATGCAGCCTCTGGAGTGCTGACAAGGATTTTCTAAAAATAGTAATACTGACCTTAATCTTGACAATACGACCCTAATACTCAAGCTTATCTGAGATTTTATGACTCTGAATAATTGTGTGAAAGTTGATAAAAATTCCTCACAAAACAGTCACTAGAGTGCTGATAACGATCAGTGCAACATTAGTGGTGAGGTGATACTAACACCCATACCCAAGGAAATCTTAATAATACATCGAGATGATAATAACATATGTGAACAAGTTACATACGTGAATACTCGCTTTGACCCAACCCTGTGTCCTTAGGGGGTCAGTCAAATCATTCATACTTCAAAGGAAATCATTCCTACAGTAGGATTTTAAAGAATTTTCCCTTTTTTGGCCCAGTCCCTTTTGCTCTAAGAGGCTAAGAACCTTACCTTTTAATTTAAAATTGATTCCCCTTCACCCAAGAATACTTCACACCAAATTTGGCTAAAATTCAATAATTCCTACAGGTAGAGCAGGATTTTAAAGAACTCTGAGCTCTGCCCCTCAGGCCCATGGGAGCTGGTAGCCACCATTTGTAAAAAATTTGTTTATCTTCACCAAAGGATGCTTCAGGCAAACTTTAGTCAAAATTTTAGAAAAAGTTGAGAGACAGGTGACGGATGCTGCGGTACATGTATGCCAATAGTTCACTTAGCCATTCAGGCCAGGTGAGCTAAGATCTGACAATCGAAGTGTGGATGAACAAAGCACAGAATTTGCGGACGGTGGTCTGACAAATTTGACAAATTCTTTGAAAGTACTCATAAATGGTAGGTTTTGTGAATGGAAAACAGTTGCACAATCACGTTACGAAATGACTACTGTGATAACCATGTTGGAAGTTTTGATCAGACTGAAAAATAACAAATCATCTCTTTCTTTTCCTTAAAAATCAAACTCCAAATATTTTTTTCATTGGTGTGAATGAAACATGAAAAGAAATTCAAATTATTTGATCTAGACGAGTTATATTTGATTCTGGACCAAGGGGTAAAGATAAGATTTGGTCAGGACAATCTCAGGATCACTTCATGCATGTTTGCCATTCCCTAATAATGTTTCAGGCAACATTTGGTTGAAATCTACCAAGGCATTAAGAAAGAGTTGTGTTTTGCAGCAAACATTCTCTAACTTCCCCTTTTGGAACCCTGCCACTAAGTCCCTAGGGATTAAATTAACTTTCTGAATTAAAGAAATGATTCTCCACCCACAATGATGTTTTGTACCACATTTGGTTTAAATCCATTAAAGCCTTAAGGAAGAGCAGCCATTTGGTCTCTTGGAGTCAAATCAACTTTCTTAAGAAATGATTCCCCACTCCTAATGATGTTTCAAACTAAATTTGTTTGAAATTCATTCAAGCATCAAGGAAAAGTAGCATTTTGAAGCAAAATCTTGACTAACCTCCACATTTGGGCCTCGTCCAAAAATCCCTAGGGGTTGAATCAACTTTCTGAATTAAAAGAAATTATTCCCCCTTCTAAATTATGTTTCTGACCAAATTTGTTTGAAATCTACCCAGGCATTAAAGAAGAAATAGTGTTTTGAAGCAAAATATTGTTTAATTTCAATGTTTGGGGCCCCACCCCAAAGTTCCTCGGGGTCGAATAATATTTCTAAATTTAAGAAGGATTTTCCAACCTCTACTGATGTTACACACAAAATCTGAATGAAATCCATTCAAGCATTAAGGAAGAGTAGCATTTTGAATCAAAATATTGTCTTGCTACCCTTTTGGGGTCCCATCCCCAGGACCCTAGGAATTGAATAATATTTCGGAATTTGAAAAATGATTCCCCTCCCCTAATGATGTTTCAGACCAAATTTGGTTGAAATCCACCAAAGGGGTTAAGCAGAAGTAGTGTTTTAAAAGAAAAGTATACGGATGGCGGACGGTGCACGACAACTTTTTTCTTTCTGTTTGATACCTATATCACACAGCCATTTTGCCAAATATATCAACTTGTGGTGATTAAATATATCTTACCCCATAGGTCCTGGTTCATCCCCTATCTCTATCTCGAAGGGCATGCCGTGTTGGGCACAATATTGTTGTAAAGCAGTGATTGGATTCTGTTCCTGGGAAGCACCTCCTAAATGCTAGGAAATTGCCAGGTAATTTACAAATCAAATGTGACCAACATCAATCAGATTATTTACAAATCAAATGTGACCAAAATCAATCTGATTATTTACAATCGAAATGTGACCAAAATCAATCTGATTATTTACAATCAAAATGTGACCAAAATCAATCAGATTATTTACAATCCAAATGTGACCGAAATCAATCAGATTATTTACAATCCAAATGTGACCAAAATCAATCTGATTATTTACAATCCAAATGTGACTAACATCAATCTGATTATTTACAATCCAAATGTGACTAACATCAATCTGATTATTTACAATCCAAATGTGACCAACATCAATCTGATTATTTACAATCCAAATGTGACCAAAATCAATCTGATTATTTACAATCCAAATGTGACCAACATCAATCAGATTATTTACAATCCAAATGTGACCAACATCAATCTGATTATTTACAATCAAAATGTGACCAAAATCAATCTGATTATTTACAATCCAAATGTGACCAAAATCAATCTGATTATTTACAATCCAAATGTGACCAACATCAATCAGATTATTTACAATCCAAATGTGACTAACATCAATCTGATTATTTACAATCCAAATGTGACTAACATCAATCTGATTATTTACAATCCAAATGTGACTAACATCAATCTGATTATTTACAATCCAAATGTGACTAACATCAATCTGATTATTTACAAATCAAATGTGACCAAAATCAATCTGATTATTTACAATCCAAATGTGACCAACATCAATCAGATTATTTACAATCCAAATGTGACCAACATCAATCAGATTATTTACAATCCAAATGTGATTATTTACAATCAAAATGTGACCAAAATCAATCTGATTATTTACAATCCAAATGTGACTAACATCAATCTGATTATTTACAATCCAAATGTGACCAACATCAATCTGATTATTTACAATCCAAATGTGACTAACATCAATCAGATTATTTACAATCCAAATGTGACTAACATCAATCTGATTATTTACAATCCAAATGTGACCAACATCAATCTGATTATTTACAATCCAAATGTGACTAACATCAATCTGATTATTTACAATCCAAATGTGACTAACATCAATCTGATTATTTACAATCCAAATGTGATCTACATCCATTGTTACGGGTAAGCATCTGAGCTGTATGCAATCAATTCCAATGAAAGATAGAAAAAAGACAATATGGAAAAGTTCAATCATGTACCAACACACTGTCTTGTTATAGGCAATTCCATTTTCCAAAAGTAATGAAGTTACAATGACAAGAAGTGTAGGGGATCGAGCTTGAAAAAACTCTTTCTTTGATGTTGGTCAAAGGTCACACTGTATCAGTATAATTACCTGCTCCATGTTAAGATGCCTCATTATACTTTTCTTGGCAGCAGATTCGTACTGCGTCATACCTGTGCTTGTACACAGCTTTCTTCCCATGGAATCATACATCACAGTTTCATCTTTAAGAAAACAATTGAAGAAATGTTTTATTTTTCTGAAATATATCTAAAATAGGAATATCACTCACCATTATATTTTTAACCAAACAAAAAAAACACCTTTGTTTCACAACATATACTCTTGTTGGCTCCAGTGTGACAGGATGAGAGGTCTTACTGTGAAATACAGTAAACATCTGGTCAGTTCAAATAGGGGGTAGTTTGGACATGTGATTTTTTCACCAAGAAAAAGCTAGGTGATTTGGCACTCCATGAAGGAGACTCCTATATGGAAGTTACCTTTTCACATGCAAATGGAAAACAATCACCTAGGGCAAGTGCCATACAACTGCGCCAGGCAACTTAAAACAAAGTATAAGAGAATTTCTTAATACTCCAACTAAACAAAATATATACAATGTCAGTATTAGAATATTCAAGGCATGTGTTGAATCATAATTATAATCTATCGTCATTATAATCTAATACTTATTTACAGCCGTCTAAGTTGACTCTATTTCTTAATGCATAAGATATAAACTATTTACCATCGGAGTCCTCCACGACCTCATCATAGACTCCTAATATAATGGACATTGCTATCTTGGCGGCATTAGACTTAGCATCTTTTTTAGTCCTCCCCAATCCTTGTGGATATTCTTTACCGTTTACTGTGCAGGTCATGGCAAACTGTGTCCCAAATGACTGTATATTAGATGCCACTTCTCGGAAAGAAACTGCCCATCTTTTTAAGGAACAGTATTCATGAATAGCCATAACCGGTTGCTTGGTACCATTCTTGAAGTTTTCAATCAGTTCTGGAGGGATCTGAAAATTTATTATCTTGATTAAAGCCTCCTGATTCTAGATTGTTAGCAATACAGCATGAATTATTTTGTGTTCAAATGTTTTTATTTTCTAATCTTTTGATCATGTAATAGAATCTGTGGTGCTTTGAGGAACTGTTCTTCTATGTATGCAAATTATTCAGTGCAAATAATGGTCATCTTTGTTTCCAAACATCCCCAAATTAACAAATAGAATTTATGTAACTGTAACAGAGGTCATTATTTATTTCAATGCCTCCGCTAGGAATTGAACCTGGGACCCCTGGCGTACTAGTCTGACGCTCAAGCAATCAAGCTAAAGAGAAGTTCTCTCTTGCCGAGTGGTATATTGCGGCTAGTATTTTACCAGGGTTACATAACTAAATAATTAACCATTATATCTAGCTAGCTAACTTCCTGACTAATTGGTTCTTTTGTGTGTGTGTGTTACAGCATTTCCCTTATTATTTTGGTTCCATTTAGGACTTCAAGCAAAGACAAAAATTTGATCTTGAAAAAGTTAGTCTACATGTATTTTACATGAATCTCAGCTGTATATAAGAAGAGCAAGAGAATGCTTTTGATCATTTGGCCGCCTACACCAATCCAGTTCCGTAATAATGTTCCGTACACGACTACACGTACACGGCAGGCCAGCCTCCTACTTTCACTACACAGCCTACTACTAACAAAATTATGGAAAACCCTGCATATGCCAAATTTCATCAGTTTTCATTCAGGATTAATTTTAAGTGAAAATACAACTATTTTAATCATTCATGATTATATTGAAGAAAAAAGAGTCTTAAAAGTGAAAAGGAAAAATAAAGAAATGATGAAGATGATGAACGTCAATTTTTAAATTTTCTGTCAACCATGCTCACTTCCTTCACATCATCTTGCCTAGCCCCTTGTGGTAATGGCTGGTCATCCGGCCGAGCAGTCAGCCCAGGAATGTACTTCTTTTGAGCTTGTTTGGAGGCTTCAAACATAATCGTTTCTTGTGTGTTGCCTGTAACCATAACAAACATGATAAACATCAGATCAACAATATAATACATGTCAGTATGTTATCAAACATTTTTTTGGTATGGAGCCTGGTATAGAGGACTACAACAGTCCTGCACCGGAATAAACTTAATTTAACTTAAACATTACTCGTCTCTTGTAAATGACCAGTCACTTTATTGTTATAACATTTTTGAAGATTCGAGATTGGGTATTTTGTTAGAACCTCATCAGCTGTTGCCTCGACCTTAATATATCTATTTCTAGAAATATCGAAATTCGTGATGTTGCACCTCCGATCAAACAATTTTATCTTCTCTGAAATCTGGTAATATATTTATATCAGTACCTGGTCTCTTCCCCGGGCAACCATGCAACTAGCTGGAAAGTGTGGGAAATCCCCTCCAAATACGATCTATTATTAGAAATTTCTGAACCTACATGTCATCGCCAATTTAGATGATTTAGATCGTTTATGTTTCCTTACTAATATATCTTATCTGTAATTGTTAAATTGTTGATATTAAACGTGAATAAGAAATCATTACAAGCAGCACAGACCTACGAAGTGCAACTTATTTTTGTATTTCCGAGATATCTCTGCTGTTTACATATAGCTTATGCAGAGAATCTAAAGAGTCTCCAAATGATACAGGGCGGTGCTAATACTATTTTGTACCCACTGATAAGGTCCTACCGAGAACCGGAAAGGACTATTGTTTGCGACGCTTCCCTCTGTTCTTCTGCTATTTTGTTTCGGTTTTCTACACAATAAATCACGGGAACGTATCAGATTAATAGGTAGAACATGGACTCATCTTGTAGACAGTGCATGAATCGTGTATCAAAAGTATGGCACTATCTAATGAAACTATTTATCCTACAATAACTCCATACTTTGGGTAGGAGTTCACCTTCATGTGTCAGTGTGTATTAAAAGTAGGTCACTCTGACATATTTTGACCTTTGTCCTACAACAAAGAAATTTTTTGTCCAGACTGTATCTCCTACGCTAGCTAGTCACTGGAACTTCATACTTTGGGCATTAATTCACCTTGATGTGGCAATGTATATTAAAAATAGGTCACTTTGACCTAAATTTTGATCTTTGTCTTACGCCAAAGAAAATGATTGTCCAGACTGTATCTCCTACGCTAGCTAGTCACTTGGAACTTCATACATCGGGTATGAGTTCGCCTTGATGTGGCAATGTATATTAAAAATAGGTCACTTTGACCTAAATTTTGATCTTTGTCTTACGCCAAAGAAAATGATTGTCCAGACTGTATCTCCTACACTACCAGTCACTGGAACTTCATACATCGGGTATGAGTTCACCTTGGTGAGGAATTGACCTGAATGTAAGTCAAACAAAGTGTTTGTCTAGTCTCTGTCTCATACACTGCTCGTAAATAGAAAACTCTTACTTTTTGTATGGGCTCACCCTGTTTAGGGGTTGTGTCGGTAGGAGACCGTTATTCGTCGAAGTATTTAGTGTTTAGGGAGAAACAGGGTAGACATGTCCGATCAGTGAGTATTATTTAATATTTATTTATGCTATTAAAATGCGTGTTAAAATATGTGTATCTGATGGTTTAGCTGATGTCGGTCAGACTTCAATTTATTTCAATTGTAAATACAATAAGTTTAATGCGTTCTGTTTTTGAGCGGTGTTTATTTTGAACTTTTAAGGTCGATCTCTTCAGGATATTTTTATTATTGTTACATCATTGATGTCAATTCCTTATTAAAAAATCTAAATCACAAAATGTAGAGTAATTATAAAAGATCAATTTTCGGTAACTAAAATCCAGAAAGTTCTGACAATAATAATATGCATTACTGAATACTAGTAACAACATGGTCCATACTATCAAAGGATCACTCCATGTAACTAAATTCTATAAGTACTTGGAACTTGAGAAGTTTGAAATGTGGAAAGTGTTTGCTGTTCCCTTTTACACTGATTACCTGTGTCGATTTTTTAACGCGAAAACTTAACTTCATATCAAGCATGCACGGAGAAGAAGAGGCGTTACTGTAATTTCTAATAACAACTTTCAAGGTGATCATGTGTGATATGAATTCTAATGATTTTCGGAAGGTGATGTAGGTACAGCACTTGAATTCGATTAATATCTCGACTCATTACCACTACTCAAAGCAAATAGATGACATGGCTGGTTTTCGTGTATAAAATGTTTAGAAGTAGTACGCACTAGGAGACATCAACGAAATTTATCAATGTAAACAGTATGAATACCGGTGTATATCAGAACAACATCGATATTCTTACGCCCCTAATTTGCAATGAATTTTCATTACGTCTCCCATTACGTCTAAACTATACCTGTAATTATCAACCCCGAGTATACCTTATACAAAATTACACCCATTTTTCAACATTACCATCCCCTATCCACCATCCCCGCCCCTCTTAGTTCTATACCATACCCAATATACATACATGTTCCCTCCAAATACTCCTCAACAGTACCAAGTGTATGCACCGTAAACAACTCGCTATAAACATCCTCTCGTCACTCCTTCACTACACCCACTATAAACACTGTCACGCACACCTGTATGTTTACCTGTGCATTGTTATTGAGTTGGTCACGTGAGCGGGTATGCGAGTGTGAGCGGAACAGTGGACATTGACTGTCCAGGTGACCAGCACGCCTTTGTTCTGTTTTCGTCACCTGTTTGCCGATTTTATGGCGTGAGTGACTTTGTTTAGTCGTGGAAATGAAGCCCAGACATCTGACTGGGGTAAGTATTCTATGCTGTTTTATGTGGTTGTTTATTGCCATATTTACGATGTCCTTCTTATAGGTCAAGCTACTATTGTCGGTGCGTGTTCGTTCATGCGTAGCTTTCAGTGTTTACGATGCATGTTTATTTTCTAGGATTTAACGTTGAATTAGGCTGGATACATTTGAAAATTGTTATTGTACATCTAGAGTGGCTATTTTGTCAGTTATTTAGTCGTTGTAAAACCGTAAAGTACACGTAGAAATGTGGTTACGTTCGTGTTAAAAAAAGTATGGAAGCCGTGAGTGGAAGTCGTGTGCGCATGAACCGTTGTGAGAGCGTCACGGTATAAATTCTATAGAAGGCCGTTAGCGTCGTGTATGTTTCGCGTAACGATATGGTTGTTTTGTTGAATTTTGATATTGTGTATTTTATCACGCACCGTAGAATTGTAAAATGTAGTCGTGTATTCCCATTGTATTACACAAACAAATAATAGAGTATTGATTATAAATAATGTTAATTTACTGGTTAGTTGTAAGAAACTTTGTGAGTTATATGTAATTGTAGTCATGGGTGGAAGGATGAACGTTTAGTGGTCTTTTGTTTTTGTTTTAAGCTTCACATGATGGGTAAATCACCATAGAGCCTACAGAAGGTCAGCACCGCTGGAGCGCCAGGTCTTCGCCGTGCAGTAACGGGACCGACCAACGTTACATTTCAGTCACTCAGGGTCTAGGTCAACTGCAAAGAAGGATTGTCTCCAGGGACAGGCTGTCATGTAGCGACTCGGCTGTAATATGTAAGCTAGTCACCGCCCTATCAGGATACGGTTGCTTTGTCAGCAATTCGTCTTGGTGTTGGGAACTGAGCGAGTCGTTCCTTTACAACTCGGACTTTGTCGTTCTGTGAAGAGACTGTAGCCATCTTTACTGTTAAAGTGTATGAATGGAGAGTGATTGTGAGTGTGACTGGGTGTCTGTAGTTTTCATTTTGTGTATATGTTCATTTGTTGCATTCTTGTGTTGATTTCCTGATATACTGCACAGAGGCCCGTCCCACGTTACAAACACTAAACACCCACTATAAATACACCCACTACTAAACTACACCCACTATAAACACTACCCCGTTATTCCTAAACTACACCCTCTATTATTTCTAAACACACCCTCGCGTTATTCATCCCCCCCCCCCGTTACTCCTAAACTACACCCTCTATAAACACCCTCCCGTTACTCCTAAACTACACCCACTATAAACACCCTCCCGTTACTCCTAAACTACACCCACTATAAACACCCTCCCGTTATTCCTAAACTACACCCACTATAAACACCCTCCCGTTATTCCTAAACTACACCCTCTATAAACACCCTCCCGTTATTCCTAAACTACACCCACTATAAACACCCTCCCGTTATTCCTAAACTGCACCCTCTATAAACACCCTCCTGTTATTCCTAAACTACACCCACTATAAACACTACCCCGTTATTCCTAAACTACGCCCACTATCAACATTCTCT